GGCCTGGCTGGTCTCAAACTCCTGACCTCAAGTGATCCGCTCACCTTGGCCTCCTAAAGTGCTGGGATTACAGGTGTGAGCCATTGTGCCCAGCACACTGGTCAATTTTTTAAAAAATATTTTTTGTAGAAACAGGGTCTCACAATTTCGTCAAGGCTGGTCTCAAACTCCAGAGAGGATGAAGCAATCCTCCCACCTTGGCCTCCTAAAGCGTTGGGATTACAGACATCAGTCACTGTGCCAGGCTAATTTTTAAAAATGTATTTTTTGAGGCTGGGCGCGGTGGCTCACGCCTGTAATCCCAGCACTTTGGGAGGCTGAGGTCACTTGAGGTCACAAGTTCAAGACCAGCCTGGCCGACATGGTGAAATCCCTTCTACCAAAAATTAGCCAGGCATGGTGGCAGGTGCCTGTAATCCCAGCTACTCAGGAGGCTGAGGCAGGAGAATCTCTTGACTCTAGGAGGCAGTTTGCAGTGAGCCAAAACCACACCTCTGCACTCCAGTCTGGGTGACAGAGTGAGACTCTGTCTCAAAATATAATAATAAAAATATATTGTTTGTAGGGACAGGGTCTTGCTATGTTGCCCAGACTGATCTTGAACTCCTGGCTCAAGGGATCCTCCTGCCTCAGCCTCCCAAAGTTCTGGGATTACAGGCGTGAGCCACAGAGCCCACTGACTTTTAGTATATTGACAAGGTTGTGCAACCATCACCAATTCCAGAACCTTCTCATCTCCCCAAAATGAAACACTACACCCATTACAGTCTAAATGACTAAGCTACTTCCTGTTTCCATGGATTTGCCCATAACGGGCATTTCATAGGATGCAGTCACACAATGTGACCTTTTGTGTCTGTTTTCTTTTACCTTTTTAAGGTTCCTCCTCCACCTCAGTGCTTCCTTCCTTTTACATGGCTGAGTAATATTCCACCCCCTGAACGTACCACATTCTGATTCCTCAGTGGTTGCTTCATTTGCTTTTTTCCACTTTGGGGCTAATAATGCTGCCATGAGCATCTGTGTGCAGGCTTCTGTGGGCACATTTTCAGTTCTCTTGAGTATGTACCTAGGAGCGGAACTGTGGTCCTATGCGGTCGCTGCTTTGTGAAGGTCTGTTTGCCGAAGTGGCTGCATTTTACATTCCCAGGGGCAGTGGATGAAGGTCCCATTTCTCCACATCCTCTCCAACATTGCTTTTTTTAGTACAGCCGTCGTAATGGGTATAGTGTGGATCTCATGGTTTTTTGTTTGTTTGTTTGTTTGAAGACGGGGTTTCACCATGTTGGTCAGGCTAGTATTGAACTCCCGACCTCAGGTGATTCAACTGCCTTGGCCTCCAAAGTGCTTGGATTACAGACGTGAGCCACCATGCCCGGCCCGTTTTTTGTTTGTTTGTTTTTTAGATGGAGTCTTGCTCTGTCACCAGGCTGCAGTGCAGTGGCATCTTGGCTCACTGTGACCCCTGCCTCCCAGGTTCAAGCGATTTCCCTGCCTCAGCCTCCTGAGTAGCTGGGACTACCGGCGCGAACCACCATGCCTGGTTAATTTTTTTGTATTTTAGTAGAGACGAGGTTTTACCATGTTGGCCAGGATAGTCTTGATCTCCTGACCTCGTGATCCACCTGCCTCATCCTCCCAAAGTGCTGGGATTACAGGCATGAGCCACTGTGTCCAGTTTAAGTTTTAATTTTTTTTTTGAGACGGAGTTTCGCTCTTGTTACCCCAGGCTGGAGTGCAATGGCGCGATCTCGGCTCACCGCAACCTCCGCCTCCTGGGTTCAGGCAATTCTCCTGCCTCAGCCTCCTGAGTAGCTGGGATTACAGGCACACGCCACCATGCCCAGCTAATTTTTTGTATTTTTAGTAGAGACGGGGTTTCACCGTGTTGACCGGGATGGTCTCGATCTCTTGACCTCGTGATCCACCCACCTCGGCCTCCCAAAGTGCTGGGATTACAGGCTGAGCCACCGCGCCCGGCCAAGTTTTAATTTTTTAGACAGGGTGTCACTCTGTTGCCCAGGCTGGAGTGCAGTGGTGTGATCATAGCTCATTGCTGCCTCAACCTCCCGGGCTCCAGTGATCCTCCTGCCTCAACCTTCCAAGTAGTTTGGACTACAGGTACACTCCATGCCTGGCTTACTTTTATGATTTAGAGACAGAGTCTCACTGTGTTGCCCAGGCTGGTCTCAAACTCCTGGCTTCAAGATCCTTCTGCCTCTACCTCCCAAAGGATGAGGCTGAGATTAGTTATCCAGCGGGATTAGGTGTGTAGTGATTTTGATTTGCATTTTTAAAAAATATTTATTTTTTTTTAAAGATGGGGTTTCACCATGTTGATCAGACTGGTCTTGAACTCCCCACTTCAGGTGATCTGCCCACCTTGGCCTCCAAAGTGCTTGGATTACAGGCATGAGCCACCATGCCTGGCCCGATTTGCATTTTCTTTCTTTCTTTCTTTTTTTTTTTTTTTTTGAGATGGAGTTTCACTCTTGTTACCCAGGCTGGAGTGCAATGGCGTGATCTTGGCTCACCGCAACCCTCCTGGGTTCAAGCAATTCTCCTGCCTCAGCCTCCTGAGTAGCTGGGACTACAGGCACATGCCACCACACCCAGCTAATTTTTGTATTTTTAGTAGAGAGGGGTTTTCCCATGTTGGTCAGACTGGTCTCAAATTCCTGACCTCAGGTGATCACCTACCTCAGCCTCACAAAGTGCTGGGATTACAGGCATAAGCCACTGTGCCCGGCCTACTGTTGAGTTCTAAGGTTTCTTTATATATTCTGGATAGTGGACCCTTATCAGCTATGCTATTTGAAAAGATTTTCTCCCATCTTCATCCTCAAAATCCTTTCAAGGAGGAACACTCAAGGCTCAGGTGCCCACCCCAACTCCTGCACTCACAGGCAGTGCGAGTCTCAGTACAGAGTCTCAAATGTTGAACCAGGCTAGGCACGGTAGCTCACACCTGTAATCCCAGCACTTTGGGAGGCCGAGATGGGAGGATCACATGCAGTTAGGAGTTCAAGACCAGCCTACCTAACAAGGCGAAACCCTGTCTCTGCTAAAAATACAAAAATTAGCTGGGCGTGGTGGTGAGTGTCTGTAGTCCTAGCTACTCGGGAGGCTGGGGCAGGAGAGTCACTTCCTTGAACCTGGGAGGCAGAGGTTTCAGTGAGCGGAGATCGAGCCACTATACTCCAGCCTGGATGACAGAGCGATATGTCATCTCAGAAACAAACAACAAATCAAATGTGGAACCAAACAGCTTTGGGGTCCAGCTACACTGGGGTCTTCTAGGGAGGCCTCACTGCCTCTTTTTTTTTCCTGGACCAACTTACCATTAGGCATGGTGCCTGGGCCCAGACCATTTATTTAAAATCAGAAGGGAAAAAAAACGAACCTTTAGGTGAAAGAAAATCCTCTAGTAGGGCCGGGCGCGGTGGCTCACACTGCAATCCCAGCACTTTGGGAGGCTGAGGCGGGCAGATCATGAGGTCAGGAGATTGAGACCGTCCTGGGCAAAATGGTGAAACCCTGTCTCTACTAAAATACACAAAAATTAGCCGGGCCTGGTGGCACGTGACTGTAATCCCAGCTACTTGGGAGGCTGAGGCAGGGGAATTGCTTGAACCAGGGAGGTGGAGGTTGCAGTGAGCCGAGATTGCACTACTGCACTCCAGCCTGGTGACACAGCGAGACTCTCAGGGAAAAAAAAAAGAAATCCTCTAGTATACATTAATATATTCATCATTATACCAACATGTTGTAAAATAGATTTTTTTAACCAAGAAAGGGGCTCAGCAAGGCCACAGTGCCTCTGCTTCCCATAGTCATGAATGAGGTGGCCCTACCGTCCCTCTGGTCCCAGGCCCAAACTATTCCTCTTGGACAGGCAGCAAGATCTTCACTGGGGACATCTGATCCTTCTTCCAAAAGGGTCAATAATTAGCACTTTGAGAATGGTGTCAGATCAACCCTGGCCTGGATTCCACCTGCCTAGCCAAGCATTAAATCTTTTGTCATTTTATTATTTTTACAGACGGGGTCTTGCTCTGTTGCCCAGACGGGAGTGCAGTGGTACAATCAGCTCAGTGCAGCCTCGAACTCCTGGGCTCAAGTGATCCTCCCGCCTCAGCCTCCTGATAGCTGAGACTAACATGCAGGTGCCACCATGCCTGGCTTTTTTTTTTTTTTTTTTTTTTGAGACAGAGTCTTGCTGTGTTGCCCAGGCTGGAGTGCAGTGGCATGATCTCGGCTCACTGCAACCTCCACCTCCCGGGTTCAAGTGATTCTCCTGTCTCATCCTCCTGAGTAGCTGGGATTACAGGTGCCTGCTGCCATGCCCAGCTAATTTTTGTATTTTTAGTAGTGATGGGGTTTTGCCATGTTGGCCAGGATGGTCCTGAATTCCTGACCTCGATCTACCTGCCTTGGTCTCCCAAAGTGCTAGGATTAGAGGCATGAGCCACCTTGCCTGGCCTATTTTTTTTTTTTTTTTAGAGATAAAGTCTTGCAATTTTGTTCAGGCTGGTCTCAAACTCCTGGCCTAAAAGTGAGCCTCCTCTCTCAACCTCCTGAGTAGCTGGGGTAACAGGCATGTATCAGCATACCCGGTTCAAGTCATTGCACCTTTGAACCTGTTTCCACATCAGTAAAACAGAGACAGCAGCTCCCACCCTAAGTGAATGGCCTTTTGTAAACCACAACCCGAGGGACACAAAGGTGACAGCTGGTACTCTGGGGTGACAGCCCTTGGCAGAGGGATGGCGGACGGCACACGGCAGGGAGATCGGTGTGGGCACGTAGCAGCAGCACAGCTCGAACCCCGGGCTCCTCCACGCCTCACCGTAGCCTGTTCTTCAGTTATCAAATGGGAGCTGATGAACCCCTGGGCTCCCTTCCTGCTCTGATGCAGGAAGTGTGGGGGCACACACACACTTGCACACACGCACATATATGCATACACATGCATGCACACACCCCCCGAGGACCTTCTAGCTTTGGCTATAGAGCATTTATTGCAAACAAGACTGAGGTAAAAGAAGCTGACTCAGAACCCATGCCCACCCAGGCTGGGGAAGTATCTACTCGCCCCATGCCAGGCCCTGAGCACCGCGGGCCCGAAGCAGCCCCCGGAGGACAGATGGGCCCCGTGCACTGAGGTAGCTGCATCTTAAGCCCCCATGAGTACAACTGCCCAGGGCTGCCCAAATCCCGGGGGGGAGGAGGAGGAAGAGGCAGACAGGGTGGAGCCCTGGCTTCACGTGGGGCACACCCCACACCTCCAACAAACCTCCCAGCCTCTCGGGCTGGGCACTTCCATCTGCCCACCCAGCCAGCCATGGGGCAGCAGGGTGGGCACCCAAGGTGGACGTGCTGGGGTCAGAGGTCACTGCTGCTCCAGGCAGTCCTCAGTCACCCCCTGGGCGGCCAGCTCGGCCAGCACGTTCTGCAGGTAGTTGGGGTCGGGGTAGCCGTGGCCCGTCACGTTGCGGTCCATCTCTGTCTTGTGGTGGATCTCGTTCCACACCACTGTGTCCGTCTCGCCCGTGGTGCTGGACGTGCCCACTGTGAAGATGAGCCGCCTCTTCCAGGCCACCTTCAAGAGCTCCAGGACCTGCCGGGGAGCAGGGGGAAGAGGAAGAGGAGGAAGGAGGGGATGGGGAGTGAGAAGGAGAAGAGCTCCGTGAGCAGGCACAGGCTGGCACCATGTTCCTCCCTCCCAGCCCCTCCTGGGTGACCTCATCCAGTCCCTGGCACTCACCCCATCCATGGGGACCCCAAAACTGCCCACTGAACAGCACGAGGATCCCATGTGAGCCTGTGCTCCAGCCCACCCCGCCCACCCTGCTCGGTGCCTGGCTGCCATCATCTGTTTGGTCCCAATGCCCAGGCGCCATGCTGGAGTCCTCCCTGCTTCCAGAGCCTGTGCTGGATGAGCGCCCGCCCGCCGGCCCTGTCTGGTGGAAGCCAGGCCTCCCTGCCCTCTCCCCGCCTCCAGCTCCACCACCTCAAGCCCATCCCAGCTTTTCCAGAGCTCCATCAGCAGCCCCACCTCCCGCGGCTTCCCGGGTGCTCAGAACCAGCTCCACTCCTGGGGCTGGCTAGGAGGCAGCCCTGCCTTCGCACCCTCACCACGGGCTCCCACCCTCCTTGCCAGCTGTTCTGCCTGCCTGGAAGGCTCATCCCCAGCCTTCTCTGCAGCCAAAAAGTCCTATTCAGGTCTCAGTGCAGACACAACAGCTCCAGCCTTCCTTGGTCACCCGGTCTCACATGGCCCCTGGTCCCTCCTGGTCACACTCTGACTCCTGAGGAGCTCCTGACCCCGCCCAGCAGGGTACTGGAAGGCGACGGCCTCTCCTCCCTCAAGGCTCTGTGAGGTCCCGGCTGCCTTCCCTATACCTACGGCGGATCACCAGAAAGGAACAGCAGGTACCCGGCCCGGCCTCGGCCTCTGTCCTTTGTCCTCCACTGCAGAAGCAGAGCTAGGTGTGCTGCCTGGTCAGGGCCCTGTCCACCCCTGGGGCATGTGGTGGCACTTACCTTTCGGCCCTGGGCGTTGTCTGGAAGGTAGCACTGGCGGGGAAACCCTCTGGCAGTGAACGGCTTTCCGGGATTGGGGTGCTCGGGGCCCTGCAGGAGCAACAGACACCAGGATGGGGTGCTCTGGGGGCCCACACAGGGACAGGCACCAGGATGGGGTGCTCCGGGGGCACAGGGACAGGCACCAGGATGGGGTGCTCTGGGGCCCGCATGGGGACAGGCACCAGGATGGGGTGCTCTGGGGGCACACACAGGGACAGGCACCAGGATGGGGTGCTCTGGGGACCTGTACAGGGACAGACACCAGGATGGGGTGCTCCAGGGGCACACAGAGGGACAGGCACCAGGATGGGGTGCTCCGGGGGCACACACAGGGACAGGCACCAGGATGGGGTGCTCCGGGGCCCGCACGGGGACAGGCACCAGGATGGGGTGCTCCAGGGGCACACACAGGGACAGGCACCAGGATGGGGTGCTCCGGGGCCCGCACGGGGACAGGACTCTGCACAGCCCCACTTCCTCCCCTGCCAAGTGTCCACCCTGAATGTTCCTGAATTTCCCTCTGAGCTGTGGAGCAGTGGAGGGAAACCAGGGAAAAGGCTTGTCATTCAACAAGACAAAAAGACCCCTCTATCTACCACAGGTGGACCTTGGCTGGCACCCAGTGCCCACTGGCTGCTGCCCCCTGTATCTTCCCACCCTGCCCCAGGCTCTGCAATCCACCTTGGCCCAAGACAGGAGACCAAAAGGGCCAGGGCCCCATCTGGGTCTCCTCTGGAACTGTGGGGCCTCGTGCCCAGGCTCCTGCCACTCCCACACCTGACGCTGCCACCTCCAACCCAAGGTTCCTCGATGCACACCCTGCTGTGTGCCCCCCGCTTCTCCAGCCCCTCAACAAGGTTCCTCCCACTGAACCGCTTGCTCTTCTGCCCAGGACAAGTCCAGCTAAGATGTCTCCTCCTCTAGGAAGGCCTCCCTTCCCGGGAAGAGCGGAGCGCCAGGCCAGCTCTCCGCTGCCGCAGCCCTAAGAGTTTGCCCTTGGCTCTGGCCCTGCTTCCCCATTCCTGGCCCTCCGTGGACTGGCCTTAGGGGACCCGGGGGCCTGAGCTTGGCTACACGGGCCTCCTCAGCCCTGATCCAGGGCAGACGTCTGGGAGGCGGGCAGGGCGGAAAAGGGGTTGCCGGAGTGGGGACTCTGGGAAGGCCCCTGACCTGGATGCCATGCGGAATGTTGTAGACGATGAGGATGGTCCCGCAGTCCTCGTGGCCAGGGAGCGACATCTGGAACCGTAACACCTCCATCTTTCCCTGGGGCTGGGTCCCCGTTTTCTCTCCGTAGATGGTTTTGCAGGAGGGACACTGCAGACTTCCATCCTGAGAGAGGCAGACGCAGCCACTGAGTCGGCAGCCTGACTGTCACCTCCACCGTCAGACGGCACAGGGCCCCGGGAACGGGCCGGCCGCCATCCCAGGGAGTTGCTGGCAGCCTCTCCACCCAGAAGCTGGCCTCCAGCAGCTTCCCTAGAAAGCTTTGTTTGACACCAGCAACTCATTATGCCGTTTTCGCTATAGGGGTGTGCTCTCAGGAGACAGGTGGCGAGTGGGAAACTCGGTCCTGGGCGGACGTCTCCTCGGGTGAATTGCGTTTGAAGTGGCACAGAAGCCCCGCAGCACCTGATCTGCAGAGCCGGACTTGGCTGCTCAGGACGGCCCACACTAGGGGAGGCCGAGCCAGGCTCCATGAGCCACAGGACTCCGTTCTCTCAGCCTCCAAACTCTGCCCATCCCGCCTGAAGGCTGCTGGAGGGAGAGCGGCTGGGGGTCAGCCTGAGCGCGGCTCTTCACGGGTAGGCTGCATGGAGCCCAGTCAGCCCTGCCTCAAGGTCTGCCCCCCACCTCCCAGCGAGGTGACCCTGGTCACGGCTCCTGCTCTGAGCCTCTCCCTCATCAGCACTGTGCTGACTGCATAGGGATGCTGTAAGGAAGAAGGGTGACCGTGTATGAGCAGCGCTTACAAGTGGGCCGAGGGGAAGGCGGTGCTCTGAGGCTCAGAGAAGCCCAGAATCTCCTCGGGCCTGGCTGGAGGGCCCCAGCCTCACTGGTCCCCTTTCTAAGCATGGGGCCAGCCTAGGAGAGCCAGCCAGGCCCTTAGGAAGGTCTTCAAGCTGGCCCCACGCCCAGCACCATCTTTTGCAGAGAACCCTCCCGCCACTGCAGAGGATAGCTCAGGGCTGTGGGGGCGCAGGCCGCCCGCCTCCACCCCGGGCCAGTGTGGGTACCTTGTTGCCATTGCAGTACATGGCCAGCAGGCACAGCAGGTGGAAGGCGTGGCTGCACTTGGTGAGGCGGCCCACAGCCACGGGCCCGATGGCCTTGCTGTCAGTCACGTCGCTGTACCCAGACACTACGGACAGCTTCTCCATGCAGATGATGCAGTCCTGGAGGAGACCAAGCACAGGAAATGCCCAGTGGGCTGGGCTCACGCTGGCCAGCCTTGGAAAGAGGCGCTTTCGTGTACTGAAATGCTGGAAGTGCGGTCAATTCCAAGGCCAGGCGTGGTGGCTCAGGCCTGTAATCCCAGCACTCTGGGAGGCCAATCACTTGAGGTCAGGAATTTGAGGCCAGCCTGGCCAACATGGGAAGACCCCATCTCTATTAAAAATACAAACATTAGCCGGGCATGGTGGCATGTGCCTGTAATCTCAGCTACTTGGGAGGCTGAGGCAAGAGAATCGCTTGAACTCTGGAGGTGGAGGTTGCAGTGAGCACTCCAGCCTAGGCAACAGACCAAGGCCATCTCAGAGAAAAACTGTCCATTCCACAGGCTGGGAACGCAGGTGAGTCACCGGGACCTGTGTCCCTGGAAGGGCTTACCAGCAGCACAGGCCCGAGATGAATCGGGAGCCGCCAAATGGGTGGGATGGACAGGGCAGGCTCCTGGGGGAGCCCCTTGGAGTGGGATCTTAGAAGGGAGACAGGAATTTCCAGACAAGCACAGAGCGGGCACCCAGGGAGGGGAAGGAGGACGTTCTGAACAAGGCCCCAGCACATGGGCACTAAAGTGGGCAGGGGGTGGACGGGGGCAGGAGATGAGACAGGAACAGGGAGAGGCGGGCCCACGGGGTTCTGGATGCCACGCACAAGGGCTGGGGCTGTGTGTGAGTGGGGGGCCCCACTGGCGGTTCCAGGCAGGGAGTGCTCCCACAATCCAAGCTGCGTGCTGGCTGTGCAGACGGCGGCTTGGAGAAGACAATTCTGGGTGAAACAGCCCAGTCATGCCGGATGGGCACCAGGGCGCAGACAGAGCTGAGTGCTGGGCAGGAAGGAGTGCGGCCAGGGCTGGGGGAAGGGGTGGGACACACAAGGACGTTCAGGCTCCTGTCCGAACCCTGACTCACCAGAGTTTTCTCACGGCCTCCACTGACTGAAGAAGGACACAGTGGAGAGTCCCTGGGTGCTGGTACTCGTAACCTTTTACCCACCCAGCTCCCTATCTCCAGGGCTCCCCACTGAAATCGGGGGAAAGTGGTGCTGCAGCCCCCAAAACATGGCTCAGCAGAGAAGTTCGAGTTCTATGGAACTGCGACAGGAGTCTGACTGGCCCCATTCATTACAGGAGGCCAGGAGGGCCGGGCTGCAGAGAGCTGTGATCACACCACTGCACTGAGCCTGGGTGACGGCGCACACCTCTGTCTTTAGAATTAAAAAACTTAGGCTGGGTGCAGTGGCTCACGCCTGTAATCTCAGCACTTTGGGAAGCTGAGGCGGGTGGATCACCTGAGGTTGGCAGTTTGAGACTAGCCTGACCGACATGGAGAAACCCTAACTCTACTAAAAAAAAAAAAAAAAAAAAAAAAAAAAAAAAAAATTACAAAATTAGCCAGGAGTGGTGCTGCACACCTGTAATCTCAGCTACTCAGGAGACTGAGGCAGGAGAATTGCTTGAACCTGGGCAGCAGAGGTTGTGGTGAGCCGAGATCACACCATTGCACTCCAGCTGGGGCAACAAGAGCGAAACTCCGACTCAAAAACAAACAAACAAACAAACAAACAAACAAACAAACAGGAACCTTGACCAGCTCTCCCAACAGCCAGAGGGGGAGAAAAGCCACTTGGACGAGGCCACCTCACTTCTACACCAGCATCCATATGACAAAGAACGGGGCAGGCTAGACCATCCTGTCTCCGGGATTCCTGCTCCCAGGACGGCCGTCAGGCTACAGAGAAGCCAGGGCTGGGAGAGGAGGGGCTTTCAGCTCCTTAAGTGCAAAGCTCACCATAATGATGTGGGGCTAGGGAGGCTGGGAGATGAAACCAAAGCGCCTGGAGCAAGGCCCTGGCACCCAGCGGCCCCTGGGAAGCGCCCTTCAAGCAAGAAGGGGCGGGTGTCCTTTCCATCTGGAGTTGTTTCCAAACAGAAACAAAGGCAGCCCAGCTCCCAAGACACAGACCTCTTCTGGGGGCACTTTCAGCTCTTCCGTGTAGTTTTTTATGACCTGCTCTGGCTCTGGCTTCGGGGTGCCTCCTAGAAGAGAGAAGAACATAAGCAGTGTCCCGAGGAGCACAGGCTGGAGAGGAGGCCAGAGGGCGAGAAGTCAAGGGAGAGGTCCAAGCTGCCAGGAGGAAACGCAACAGGGGCCCAGACAGGGAGGCCAGCGTGTGGGACGGGAGAGCTCGGCGCCAGACACAGAGCCCTGAGCTCTGCCCGGCAAAGCCTTCCCCAGACCCGCAACCTGGAGACCTGGCTCAGCCCCAGGGACCGTGGAGGACGCAGAAGAGAAGAAACAGCAGCACAGTCTCCTGGGAGCTGCATCCCCACGCACATTCAGTGAGGAAACCCAGGCACTTACGAGACTGCCCGGAAGAGTCGGACAGCGGCTTTGAGCACAAACTACTCCAGAGGGCGTTGTGGCTGCACAATTCGATTCAAGTTGCATTACTCACACATGAATATTCGCAGGGAAAAGGGAGTTTCGGGCCCACTGCATATGGGCACCTGCACGCACGCCTACTGCCACCCCGACACTGTCACGGGAAACGCCTGCCTCTGACTGGGAGGATCTGTCACGCACCGACTGGCTCCTAAGCAACTCTGGGAAGCCGCCGAGACAGGGCAGGAACTCATCCTGACGGCCTCACTTGACGTCTGTGCACACGTGCATGAAGCCGGAGGGAGAAGGGCTGCATCTCCATCAACACCACACCCTGCATCCAGTGAGTCCCTCCTACGGACAAGAAGCTCCCTGAGCTGGTGAGGATTCGAACGGCCCGGGGGGTTCTCTAGGTGGTGGGAGTAGCAGAACAACCGAGGACAGCAGCCAGGCCCGTGCGGGAGCGAAAGAGGAACAGAGAGTCCAGTGCCGCCCGTGAATGCGCTTCTGGCAAGGGCTCCACCCCAAGGTCATGGTGGGGCTGCTGGTGGTCCCAGACTACAGGACAGAAGGAGCTCTGGTTTGAACCCAAACTCATGGCCATTAGCAGGGGCTGCAGAGACTCCTAAGCCTGAGGGATCATATCTGCACCAGCCCAACTCCCCCTAGACCAGAAAGGGCCAGAGGGGAGAGTTTGGCAGGGAGGTGGCCTGGTGGGGCAGAGGCCGGAGTCGGCACGGATTGTTTGATTCTGGTTCGCTTGCTCTGACCCAATCACGTCACCTCTGGGCCTCCATTCCCCGATCTCAAAACGGGGGAGCCAAGTATCTCAACAAGGTAAGGAACTGCAACGATGGCATTTGCTGCTGTGACCTGGAGGGAAGCTGCTGGCAAGACCATACCCGCCCCCACTGCAGTCCACATGGCCCATACCCCACATACACCCACACACCACCCACATCCATGCACCCCACACCTCACACCTCCACACCCACACCCCCACACACCCACCTCCACCCACACCCCCCACACCTCCACACACACCCGCACCTCCACATATGCCACACCTTCACCAACACCCACACATCCCACCTCCACACATCCCACACCCACATACCTCCACACACCCCACAAACCCCACACCCCCCACAAACCCCACACCTCCACCCACACCCAAACCCACACCCACCTCCACATACCATCACACACACCCACACCTCCACACACACACCCCTACACATCCACACCCACACACCTCCACCCACACCCATACATCTCCACCCACACCCACACCCACCTCCGCACACCATCACACACACCCACACCTCCACACACACACCCCTACACCTCCACACACCGTCACACACACACACACACCCTCTACATCTCCACACCCACCCATACAGACTGCCTGGACCACACTCCAGTCACTGTGGTGAGAAAGCCAGACTAGACTGATGGCCCCCACCTCAGGGTGGCTATCTCCTACTCAGGCTGCGGGGTGCCTTTTCTTTTGGAAAAGCCTGTGGACTCCAGAGCCATCTCCAAGTGAGCCTGGGCCTCGCCTCTGTCCAGGTGAGGCCAGGCACAGCATCCTACCCCACTCACCCACCCCAGCCCTTGCAGCCTTTGAGAACAGAAGGGACCTTTCCATTAGCCATGAGTCTTCAAAAGGGGCCAGCCAGGTGACCTGCCAAGAGCACGTCCTTCCCAGGTGCCACAGAAGGCTGCCAGCCCAGCCTGCCCACCGGTCTGGTTCCTCCTCCAGGGCAGGGGAAGGGCAGGGTGTGCGGCGCCCTGGGCTAGGGGCAAGAGCTCCAGGCCCATCCCTCCCTGAGCTCACCCCCTCGCCTGTGGGCTGGAGGTCAGACACAATCGGAAGCCATCCTTGCTGCATGCCAGGCGCTTAAAGAGTCCCTGCCAAGCCCCTCTGCTAAGCGGAGGCTCCAGGAGGACCTGCTGAGATCACACAGCCACTGAGGGCCGGCAGGGCCACGGCCACTGTCCCTGCCCGCCACCACGCCGACTCAAGAGCGTCTGGGCTGGCTGCAGTCCACACTTCCATGGCCCAGGGGTGGAGGTAGGGCCAGCACCGCTTGGGAAAGGTCCAGAACTTGCCACGAAGGCTGCTCGGAGCAGGTCTTGCCCTACTGTCCCAAACCTGCTACAGTCCTAAAGCCCCTCCTCCTCCCTGGCCATGCAGCAGGCAGGGCAGGAGTCACCGAGGGCCCTTCTCAAGCAGTCATGTGTCGGCCACGTGGGGCTGGCGGCCAAGGCAGCCGACTGGCCGCTGTCTGGGGGGCCTTTCCTGAGATACATACTGTCCCTGGTGGAAGGGACGGTTGTACCCATACCCTGAGCCAAGCCCTGCTTCTCACCCACACCTTAGTGCTTACGAAAATCACAAAATCCTCAACAACAAGCCGCTCTTGTGCCAGCTGTAACTGGAGGAGAGGAGCTGAACTCTGGGGCTGTGGTGGAAAGTCAGCTCCCAGGGGCTGCCTCTGCTGCCGAGTGGGGGCCGGGAGAAGGGCCACTGAGCCCATCCCCACAGGGAACAGGGAGCAGAGAGAAAGAAGAGCGTCTGTGCAGGACAGTCAGAGGCAGCGAGGCTGGGAGGAGGCTTAGCAAAGGCCAGCGAGCATTTGGGAACAGGAACTACCTTTCACGGACATTTTCCTCAATCTCTTAACTGAGCTGTGACTTTTAGAGGCCAGACGGGAGGCGCGAGGGCTGGCGGGCTGGGGTGCGCGGCTAAGACACACAGGGAGTCCAATGGCTGACATCAGAACACTCGTCATGCCTGCACGGGTGTGAGATCAGACACGCAGAGAGGGAGAGACATTAGAAGACTCATTCGGCAGTGACGCCAACAAACCCTGCTCAGGCCAAGGACGTGACACCATCAACGGCCATGGGGACTCCCACGTCTCCCTGGGGAATGTGGCCTCTGGGGGCCTCTGGGACTACCCAGGCCAGGAATCAGAGGGGTGGGGAAGCCTGGCTCATGGCAGCCCCAGCCCCAGGGCTCACAGGTTTCTATACAAGCAACAGACCAGCCCATGCCCTCCGAGTGTGGGCGGGGCCAGTGACTTCACGAGAGCAGAGGGTGGAGAACGCCACTCTAAGAAGCCACCCAGGGAATGGGGTCTCCTGGGCAGGACTGGCTCCAAAGGCTCAGCTTCCCCAGGAGCCCCCAGCCCTCCTGGCTCTGAGTCACTAGGCCTCCAGCCTCCATCACCCTCCTGGCTGATCTAGGTGCCACGGCCTTCAGTGACAGTGCTGGCATGGGCAGGCAGGACCGTGGCCCCTGGGCCTGCTCCCACACTGTGGAGTCCCCATCCTGTGAGGGCTGGGCTGCAGCAAAGCCCCAGGCTGTGGCTCTGGCACCCTTGGTGGAGGGTGGGCCTGTGGCCGGCAGCTATGCTGAGACCAATTGGCCATTCTTGCCAGTGCTCACCACTGCCTGATGCCTGCAGGGAGCCCCACACTGGTCCTGGGGACTCTCCTTCAACACGGCCTCCTCTGTACTCCCTGATGATTCAGGGAGTACTTTGTACTCCCAGCGCTGCCAGGGACACAGCGTGTCCTCCTGCTGGATGACCCCGTTCCCGCCACGCCCTCCGCCTATCCCATTCTCCCCAGTGCCATCTCCACAGTCCTCCCCGTCATCAGTCAGACTCAGAAGCGCCTCCTCGCTGGACAAAGGGGAAGCCCGGAGCTTCTCAGCCATCCCTTAAGGGTGGCTGCCTGGGCCTGCAGAACCTGGCTAAGGGGCTGGGCACAGCTGGGTGCCCGCCAGAGTTGGCAGCAACCCCAGCCCTCCTGGACCCCACAACCCCAGCCCTCCTGGACCCCACTCCCCATCCAGGAACAGACAGCGTGACTCAGGGGTGAGGGGCTGCTTCGACCCCCGGTAGAAGAACAAAGCTTCTCAACCTGGCACATGTGCCTGGCTAGGGACAGAAGCGGAGGCCAGCCACCAGCCTGGGCAGCATAGCCAAGGCAGGCAGGGTGAGCTGCAGTGGCCGTTCAGCAAGAGACACTAAAGCACACATCAGAAGATGGAGGTCTGAGGCTGGGAGGGCGATGCGCCCAACAACCCGAGGTAGTTCCCAGGCTCAAATGCAGCTCCTGTGGGAACTAAATGTCGGGTGAATGGGACAAGTGGGCACGGGCGGCAGAGAGATGGGAGAGGACAGGGACAGGCACAGTTTTCCTCAGGAGAACCCAGTGCCTCTGGGAGGATCAGAGACCAGAACACGTCTTCCCACCCTGGGCTCTCCGGCAGCTCTGCCTCGGTAGGCTGGCCTTCCCGGAACACCGCCTAACAGGGCTCTGTCCCTCCAAGTCTCCCACCCCTGCCCTGCTGGACTTCCGTTTTTCACTCTCTGTTTCTATAGACAGTCTTCCCCCAGCAGGAGCTCCATGAGGTGGGGACCCGGCCGAGGCTGCATCTCCAGTGCCCAGGGCAGCGCTTGGTCCCTGGGAGGCCGCAGCCCTGTATTTGCTGAGGAGGAGACATCCCTGGGCCACCACCAGCCCCCAGGAGGCCGCATGAGTGACACGAGTGTCCTTTTCAACACAGGACCCACTCTCCTGAATTCAAGTGACAAACACGTTTCAACCCAGAAGCCCGGAGAGAAGGAGGTTCGGGACAGCCCCCCAAACTCCTGACAGCCCCCAGATGACCTGAATAACTCGGAGGGCCAGTCTTTTTCTCCAGCTGTCTGGGAGGATCCCGCTGTCAGAGCCCCGAAGATTGAAGCCCCCACGAACAGACTCTCACTCCCAATTTGCAGACACCCTTCCTTCTAATACCAAGGGACAGGGCTCAGATCCAAGCCTCTCTGTGCACTCTGATCTCCCCAGCCTGGGTTTGAGCCCAATGCCAGCCCTCACCAGCTGCGCATTCCTGGGCAGGCTGCTGACACCCACCCCTGCTCGGGGCAGCAGTGTGCGCTGTGGATGGACCACTGCTGTGACCAGGTGGGGGACGGGGATCCTGGCCCCAGTCTCACAGCCCCTGCCCGCACCCGATAAAGGAGGGATAGGGCTATACCACAGCCAGGGGAGCTGTCACTTAAGAGGCACTGTCACCTGGAAGCAGTGCCTCCAGCACCCAGTCCTTCCATAGCATGGCCTCCTGGTTGTAAACCTCCCTGCAAAACCCTGTGTGCAAAGGCTCGTCTCTCTGCAGCCGGGCGTGGTATAATTCCTCAACCCACAAGCACACCAGTGTGACAGGACACTCTGCTCTCCAGCCTGGCTCTGGTGGGGGTGGGGGGCTGGCCAGGCACCTCTCATTGGCTGGTCCCCTAGACAACGCTCCCCCACCAGGTACCAACACTGAGCCTTGAAATGGGGGAGGCAGCAGTCCACACAGCCTCCACACTCTCCTATTTCCTAGCCTGGACCAGGTCCCTGAATTTGTAGGCTCTGTTTCCCCCACCAGTAAAATGGACTGCTTTGCTCCAGGATTGCTCTGAGAGCCACGGGAACGGAGAACAGGAAGGACAATTCGGGACACAGCCTGGATAGGACCCTCAGCCTCAGGAGCAGGGGAAGGGGCGGGTGCAAATCCCACACCCAGGGCACCCTGTGTCATCAGAGAGGCCCCGGTGACATCGGTTTCACGGCCTCAGAGGTCACTCACTGTCAGGTCTGGCCATGAAGGCTTGAGAGAGTCCCAGAGCTGGAAGGAGCTGGGCTGTGAGGAACCGTGTGGGGGCCCCGTCTGTTTACCCACAACCTGTCTCAAATGCCACCACGGCCGCACACAAGCACGTGCACACACAGTACAGTGTGACTTCCCTACAGCGCCACATGGTGCCTTCAGTGGGGCGGGAACTTCCTGGCCAGTGTGTCTGGCTCATTCTGCCTCCCCTCCCCACTCCAGCTCCCCTCCCTCCTGTCCCCACCTCTCTGGCTGCTCCTTCCATTTTCTCTCCAGGCTGCCCTTCCCAGAGTCCTGCCTGCGGTCTCTGCAGTGCACACTCCCATGCGGGGCCAAGGGCACCCCATTCCACCCCAGACTGCTCTTCTGAGGTCCACGGCCAAACTCCCACTGCTCCGGGACAGCTCCACTGGCCCCTCCACAGCCATCGCCCCCTCCAACCTTCCCCCAGAATCAGCAGCAAAGAACTGTCATAGGCAAGAAGGCCCAGGCTGTGTCTCAGCTCTGCCAAGGGCTGGCAGAGAATTTTTTTTTTTTTTTTTTTTTTTTTTTTTTTTTTTTTTTTTTTTGAGACGGAGTTTCACTCTTGTTACCCAGGCTGGAGTGCAATGGCGCCATCTCGGCTCACCGCAACCTCCGCCTCCTGGGTTCAGGCAATTCTCCTGCCTCAGCCTCCCGAGTAGCTGGGATTACAGGGACGCGCCACCATGCCCAGCTAATTTTTTGTATATTTAGTAGAGACGGGGTTTCACCATGTTGACCAGGATGGTCTCGATCTCTTGACCTTGTGATCCACCCGCCTCGGCCTCCCAAAGTGCTGGGATTACAGGTGTGAGCCACCGCGCCCGGCCTGAGAATTTTTAAATTCTCCGAGCCTCAGTTTCCTCAAGTGGAAGTGGAAACAAAAGCCCCCACCTCAGCGATTTAGGGATGAAATGAATTCACACACATGCCAAGCCCCAGGCTCGGCCTCAGTCACGGCCGGCTGCGCCCCAACAGGCCTCAGGCTACCTCCATCCCCCTTCAACACCCTCCCTCCACCAGCCAGCTCCTGCCTCTGCATGTTTAAAGCTAAACCTCCCCTCCATTCCACTGCCTCGAAGCTGGTCAGGCCTTGGCTGGCGCTCCCAGGTCTGAGGTCAGGCTCTGCACCGACCTCCCTGCCTCCAGGCCTGTACTCTCTCAGCCAACTTGGACTACAACAGTGACTCACCTAAAACACCCACTTATGACCATGACCGAATTCCGCTACATCACTCCATGAGCGCCATCGGCGCCATCTACCTCCTTACATACCTCACACTTTCCAGAAGTTAGAAAATAACCCCAGCTGGGCATGGCAGCTCACGCCTGGAATCCCAGCACTTTAGAAGGCTGAGGCCTGGGAGCTCAAGACCGGCCTGGGCAGCATAGTGAGATCCCGTCTCTACAAAAAATTAAAAACTAGCAGGGCATGGAGGTGTGTGCCTGTAATCTGAGCTACTTGCAGCCTGATGCAGGAGGATCGCTTCAGCCCAGGGGTTGGAGGCTGCAGTGAGCTATCACTGCACCACTGCACTCCAGCCTGGGGGACAGAGCAAGATCTTGTCTCTTCAAACAAGAAAAAAAAAAATGGCCAGGCACAGTGGCTCATGCCTGTTAATCCCAGCACTTTGGGAGGCTGAGGTGGGCGGATCACTTGAGGTCAGGAGTCCGAGACCAGCCTAGCCAAGATGTGGAAACCCCATCTCTATGAAAAATACAAGACTTAGCCAGGTGTGGTGGTGTGCACCTGTAATCCCAGTTGCTCAGGAGGCTGAGGTGGGAGAATTGGTTGAACCTGGGAGGCAGAGGTTGCAGTGAGCTGATATTCTGACACTGCACGCCAGCCTCGGTGACACAGCAGGATGCCGTCCCAAAAAAAAAAAAAAAAAAAAAGAAAGAAAAAAGGAAAAAAAAAACCCTGCCACCTGTGGAGCTTCTAAAAACCCCGATAGCCAGGCCGCTAAAACAGAATGGGCATGGGGGCCAGCTCCAGGTATTTTTAAGGATCTTTAAGGTGGGAGGATTGCTTGAGTCCAGGAGTTCAAGACTTTAGTGAACTAAGTTAGTGCCACTGCACTCCAGCCTGGGCAACAGAGGGAGACCCTGTCTCAAAAAATGAAACGAGGCCGGGCGCGGTGGCTCTAGCCTGTAATCCCAGCACTTTGGGAGGCCGAGGCGGGTGGATCACGAGGTCGAGAGATCGAGACCATCCTGGTCAACAAGGTGAAACCCCGTCTCTACTAAAAATACAAAAAGTTAGCTGGGCATGGTGGTGTGTGCCTGTAATCCCAGCTACTTAGGAGGCTGAGGCAGGAGAATTGCCTGAGCCCAGGAGGCGGAGGTTGCGGTGAGCCGAGATCGCGCCATTGCACTCCAGCCTGGGTAATAAGAGCGAAACTCCGTCTCAAAAAAAAAAAAAAAAAAAAAAAAAAAAATGAAACGAAACAAATTAAAACCCAAAACAGTTCCAAGATGTAAGAGGTATGGTTAGTACAACAAAGATCTGGTTGGACCCAAAAGGTGCTTCTTATTCAAGATAAGAGTGACTACAGCAGAAATAAGTCTATGAATGAAATGTTTCAAGCATTTCAGGACAGAAAAGTGACTCTTTAAATACAATGTAGGCCGGGCGCAGTGGCTCACGCCTGTAATCTCAGCACTCTGGGAGGCCGAGGCAGGTGGATCACAAGGTCAAGAGATCGAGACCATCCTGGCCAACATGTTGAAATCCCACCTCTACTAAAAAATACAAAAATTAGCTGGGTGTGGTGGCGCGTGCCTGTAGTCCCAGCTACTCGGAAGGCTGAGGCAAGAGAATTGCTTGAACTGGGGAGGCAGAGGTTGCAGTGAGCTGAGATGGAGCCACTACACTCCAGTCAGGCGCCTGACAACAGACCGAGACTCTGTATCAAAAAAAAAAATGTGTGTGTGTGTATATATATATATACACACACATACATATAATGCAATTCAGGCTTGGTGAGGTGGCTCACCCCTGTAATTGCAGCATATTGGGAGGCCAAGGAGGGCGGATCCCGAGATCAGGAGTTTGAGATCACAAGATCAGGAGTTTGAGAACAGCCTGGCCAACATTGTGAAACCTCATCTCTACTAAAAATACAAAAAATTAGCTGGGCATGGTGGCGTGTACCTGTAATCCCAGCTACTCAGGAGGCTGAGGCAGCAGAATTGCCTGAACCCAGGAGGCGGAGGTTGCAGTGAGCCTAGATCGTGCCATTGCACTCCAGCCTGGGTAGCAAGAGCGAAACTCTGTCTCAAAACAAAACAAAACAAAACAAAACAAAACAAAAAACAACAAACAAAACAGAATGCAATTCGATGCAAACATTTTAAAGGTTGTGAAAAGGTCTGCACCTGGGCACCCACGGTCATAAGACCCCACATCCCCAGAGAGCCAAAGGAGGGATACCTGGGCTCACTCTGGGGTGACACCAATACCAGAAAGAGGGACTGCTCCCCCAAGGAGCCCCTTTGGCTCTCCCTGAGGACCCAGAGGGTGACAAGGCCCTGCACCACAATTTCCTCCCAACCGGGTACCTCGGGCCACAGGCTGCTGTGCAGCCCGAGAGCAGGCACCTACCTGCAAGCGCCTGCTGGACTCTGCTGGGCTTTGGCATCTGCACGGGCACAGTGGCAGGGACGTTCCCCAGGCTGCTCGAGGGACCGCTGGGGAAGGAGGCGCTGGGGGAGAAAACGGAGCAGAGCTGACTATCAGAAAGGAGGGCGAGAGAGACACTGCATCACGCCAAGGGGGCTACTGCGGCACCTTCACGCTTTCGTGTTCCTTGGCTGCCTCTCTGTGGGGGCCTTTGGTTTTGTTTTCCTGGGCAATTCAGACTCAGAAGGGGTGTGGTGGCTCATACCTGTACTCCCAGCACTTTGGGAGGATGAGGTGGGAGGATCACTTGAAGCCAGAAGTTAGAGACAAGCCTGAGCAACATAGTGAGACTCCATTTCCACAAAAAAATTTTAAAATGAGCCGCGTGTGATGACGTGCACCTGTACTTGAAAGGCTGAGGCAGCAGGATGGCTTGAGCCTAGGAGGTCAAGGCTGCAGCGACCCATGATCATATCACCGCACTCCAGCCAGAGCAACATAGTGAGACCCTGTCTCAAAAAAAAAAAAAAAAAAAAAGACTCTGAAAACAATCATTTCATACCTGTTGTGAAGGAAGAAAATAAAACGAGAAAAAAAGACATTTTGCACTCACTACTGTCATCAAACTGCAGGCTCTCAGGCTGGGCATGGTGGCTCACGCCTATAATCCCAGCACTTTGGGAGGCCGAGGAGGGCGGATCATGAGGTCAGAAGATCGAAACTATCCTGGCTAACCCGGTGAAACCCTGTCTCTACTAAAAACACAAACAATTAGCCGGGTGTGGTGGCACACAACAGTGGTCCCAGCTACTCAGGAGGCTGAGGCAGGAGAATCACTTGAACCTGGGAGGCGGAGGTTGCAGTGAGCCAAGATCACGCTACTGTACACCAGCCTGGGCGACAGAGCGAGACTCCATCTCACACATACACACACACACACACACAAAGGCAGGCTCTCATAGCACCTATGTAGAGAAACCCGGCAGAAACCACATTAACAAATGATCATGCCGGGCGCGGTGGCTCAAGCCTGTAATCCCAGCACTTTGGGAGGCCGAGGCGGGTGGATCACGAGGTCGAGAGATCGAGACCATCCTGGTCAACAAGGTGAAACCCCGTCTCTACTGAAAATACAAAAAGTTAGCTGGGCATGGTGGTGCGTGCCTGTAATCCCAGCTACTTAGGAGGCTGAGGCAGGAGAATTGCCTGAGCCCAGGAGGCGGAGGTTGCGGTGAGCCGAGGTCGCGCCATTGCACTCCAGCCTGGGTAACAAGATCGAAACTCCGTCTCAAAAAAAAAAAAAAAAACAAATGATCATGACCATTATCACCAGTAACAAGACAAGTCAGTATCACAAAACCCACTGATAAGATGCTCTGGGAGGAATGCAACACCATTTTGGGGGGTTTTAATGTCAAAAATGAATTCACCTGGGCAACAATCAAGACCCCCCATCTCTAAAAAATAACCAGCCAGGTGTTGTGGCATGCACCTGTGGTCCCAGCTACTTGGGAGGCAGGCTGAGGCAGGAGGATCACTTGAGCCTGGGAGTTCAAGGCTGCAGTGAGCTATGATCTCGACACTGTACTCCAGCCTGGGCTGGAGACTCTGTTAAAAAAGAAATAAATAATAAAGGGCATTATCTTTTGTCCAAACATGGGAAAATGTAAGACAAACTCAAATTAAGGGCCATTCAACAAAGCATCTCTTTGAAAGTAAGGAGGTTATGAAAGATAAAGAGAGACTGACAAACTGTTCCAGGCCGGAGGAGGACAGGCAGGATGAGAACTGGAAGCAAAGGGGGACCCCGGATTGGGTCCTGAGACAGACAGAGGACAGTGCGGGGGAAACTAGCCAAAAATCAAGAAAACAAACCTTGAGTTAAGAGTACTGTCGCAGTGGTAATTTTCTGGTTCTGACAACTGCACCGTGGTTACAAAAGATGTTGATGTCAGAAGCAGCCAGGGGAGGGATATACGGAAATAACTATTTTTGTAACTTCTCTGGAAACCTAATTTCTACCCAAAATTTTTTTTTTGTTTTTTGTTTTTTAACATGAGGGTTTTACTCCCTACAATGATTATGTTCAAGTCACTCATTGGGACTTTGTTCTTTTTTTTTTTGAGACGGAGTCTTGCTCTGTGGCCCAGGCTGGAGAGCAGTGGTGCGATCTCGGCTCACTGCAGCCTCCACCTCCTGGATTCAAGCGATTCTCCTGCCTCAGCCTCATGAGTAGCCGGGATTACAGGTGTGTGCCACCACGCCTGGCTAATTTTTGTATTTTTAGTAGAGATGGGGTTTCACCATGTTGGTCACACTGGTCTCAAACTCCTGACCTGAGGAGGTGATCTGCCCACCTCAGCCTCCCAAAGTGCTGAGATTACAGGCGTGAGCTGTGCCCAGCCACTCACTTGATCTTAAGTCATCTTATTTCTTTTTGTTTTAAAGATAGGGTAATGCAGGGCCGGGCGCGGTGGCTCACGCCTGTAATCCCAGCACTTTGGAAGGCCGAGGCCGGTGGTCAACAAGGTGAAACGCCGTCTCTACTAAAAATACAAAAAGTTAGCTGGGCATGGTGGCGTGTGCCTGTAATCCCAGCTACTCAGGAGGCTGAGGCAGGAGAATTGCCTGAACCCAGGAGGCGGAGGCTGTGGTGAGCCGAGATCGCGCCATTGCACTCCAGCCTGGGCAACAAGAGCGAAACTCCGTCTCAAAAAAAAAAAAGAAAAAAAAAAAAATAGGGTAATGCCAGCATCGTGACACAGTGGAAGCATGCTGGGTCCACAGAGTTGCTCATCGCAGTGGTGTGATCATACTTCATTGCAGCTTCAACTTCCCGGGCTCAAGTGATCCTCCTGCCACAGCCTCCCTAGTAGCTGGGACCACAGGTGTACACCACTATGTTCAGCTAATTTTTAAGTGTTTTTGTTGCTGTTGTTACTGTTTTGTAGAGAGAAGAGTCTTGCTATGACGCCCAGGCTGGTCTGAAATTCTTGCCCTGAAGGGTTCCTTCTGCCTTGGCCTCCCAAAGTGCTGGGATTACAGGTTTGAGCCATTGTACCTGGCTTAAGTCATCATTAAAAAAAAAAAAATAACAAATGCATGTCATGATGGTTTGGGAGGGAGCCTTGTACTGAGAACACTGGTACAAACGGCTGAGACAGTGCCAGCTCCTCCCATCCATCCCCACCCACTTGAGATGATGAAATCTGAAGATGAGAAACACTCCCTCACAGACCCTACACTGGAGCTCCCCAGGACAGGGCCCAGGTCAGACAAGGAGCAGGGAAGCTGCTCAGGACACAAGGGAGCTCAGGCTGCTGTGCTTCCCTGACAGCTACCGCGAAGCAGCTGCCTGCCCACAGACGATGTCTCGGGGCTGCCCAAGATCCTTCCGTACCACCCGCCCCAGGTCACAGATCCTGCTGGTGGCAACTACAAGAAGCTGGCTGGTTCTCTTCCAAACCAGGACACCTCACACCCAGCTGGGGCTGAAGCGGCCAGGGCCTTGCAAAGGATCTGGAGCAGAGTGGGTGCTCCAATGTTTGCCTGGGCAAAGAGAGGTGCTCGAGTTTGGGGCGTTTTTGGTTTTTGTTTGAGAGACAGGGTCTTGCTCTGTCACCCAGGCTGGAGTGCAGTGGTGCAAACATAGCTCACTGCAGCCTCCAGGTCCTGGGCTCAAGTGATCCTTCCAACTCAGCTTCCCGAGTAGCTGGGACTAGAGGTCAGCACCACCATAATTGGCTAATTTTTTTTATACATAGAGAGAGACAGAATCTTGCTATGTTGTCCAGGCTAGTCTGAAACCCCTGGCCTCAAGAAATCCTCTCAGTCTCCCAAAGCACTGGGATTACGGGCATGAGCCACCTTGCATGGCCTGTTTGAGTCTGTTTGTTGACCGTTCTCAAACAGGATTGCCTGTATGGCCAGGCTAAGCAAACAGCGGCTTCTTGCGCTCCTCAGGTAGCCCCATCCAAAGGCAAGGCTAGCAGTGGATCTGAGGGCCCTGATAATACCAAGAAAAGCAGGCAGGGAGTCATGACACCTGGGTCAAGGTCCTGGCTCTCCTCAACACTCAGTTTCATTCATTTGGAGCAGGCCCCTCCTTTTCCTCAGCCTGTTACAACTTTTCTCTTTATTTTTTTGTTCGGAGTCTTGCTCTGTCAGCCAGGCTGGAGCGCAGTGGTCTGATCTTGGCTCACTGCAACCTCTGCCTCCCAGGCTCAAGCAATTCTCCTGCCCCAGCCTCTCAAGTAGCTGGGACTACAGCCGGGCGCCACCACACCCAGCTAATTTTTGTATTTTTTGTAGAGATGGGGTTTCACCATGTTGGCCAGGCTGGTCTCTAACTCCTGACTTCAAGTGATCCACCCGCCTCGGCCTCCCAAAGTGCTGGGAAAAAAAGACTGTGCTCAGCATTTTTTTTTTTTTTTTTTTTTAAGAGACGGAGTTTCGCTCTTGTTACCCAGGCTGGAGTGCAATGGCGCGATCTCGGCTCACCACAACCTCCGCCTCCTGGGTTCAGGCAATTCTCCTGCCTCAGCCTCCTGAGTAGCTGGGATTACAGGCACGCGCCACCATGCCCAGCTAATTTGTTGTATTTTTAGTAGAGACGGGGTTTCACCATGTTGACCAGGATGGTCTCGATCTCTTGACCTCGTGATCCACCCGCCTCAGCCTCCCAAAGTGCTGGGATTACAGGCTTGAGCCACCACGCCCGGCTAGGTCTCTGAAACTCTTAAGGTTCTGTAAGTCCTGAAGGCATTCCGGACCCTCCAGGGCAGCACTGAGCTCAAGCCCTTAGTTGGAGCCCAAAGAGCTGAAGCTTGGCACTGCACGCCCATGGTGCCCCCTAGAGATGAGGTACCTGGCTGCTGCACCCCACAGAAAAACCCCAGGAAGTGGGGTCTCCCTTCACCAGGGAGAGGCACATATCTGAACGAGAAGGCCTGCTGCCAGGTTCCACCACCAAGGACTAGAGCAGAAAGCAGCAGCAGCACAGGTAGGAAGGCGCTCACCCTGCGACTGGAGAGCAGCAACCAGGAGCGTCTGTAGAAAGCTCTAAAAATGTCACCACGTCCCC